GGAATGCCCGGGAACAGTATGGCACCCTGAATTATACAAGAACCAAACACACACACCCCTTACAAGCAAAGCCAATAAGCAAGGCTCGCGCGGGCGGGGAAAGAAAGCGGGCAAAAGTAAGAGCCGTTGGTTCCCAGCATAAGCCGACAGCAGCTGGAACATCCCAAGGTCAAGAAACAGATAATACTCAGACAGTGAAACTCAGAAGCAGGCAGAGCAAGGTGGCTTCCCCCTCCACACATTCCAATTGCATGGCAGAGCTATCTGACAGTCTGTCCTTATCCCACCGGCTCTCTGAGGAGCTCAGAGTGCTATACGTGGTGCTCCACATCCCTACCTTTTATTCTCACGCCAACCCTGTGAGGTAGGTTAGTGGCTGACCAAAACTCACCCAGTGGACTGTATGGCGGAGTAGGCATTGAAACTGAGACCTTTCCGCTATTATTCCGACACTCTACACCGCTCTGGCCCTCTTACTTCATTTGCATCCCCCTTTCTTCCATCCTGGAACTTATGGAGGGGTCCCTGGGGGGGGTCTCAAGAGGTCTCCCATCCATATATTGACCTCAGTCAGACCTGTTCAGCTTGAGCAAGGTTCCTGCATCAGGTTTTTAGAGACCTGTTTTCTCACACACACCCCTGAAATCCGCCTGCCAGCCCTCCTTAGCTTCTCCTAAGCTCGCCTCCTCTGTTGCTCTCCAGATCCAAAGTGCAAAGCTCGCTCTTCCCTGTAGCGGCTGAAGGCACCGCTTTCTGACAACGTGATGGATGTTACATTCCAAAGGCCAAAGACGTAGTCCCAGCCATTCCTCGGTTGCCCATGCATAGGAATTCAGACGACTAAAACTGCAACCGATTTCACACACGAGCTGCGCCGCGGTCACGCCTCCCTTTGCCCCACTTCTATCGGTCCATTTCCCACTCGAAGCCGCGCGGCCGCATTTTGACCCGCGGCTTCGCCCGATTTTCCCCGATTTTCTCCTGTTTTTTGAGGATCACGAAACCGTGGGGAAAATCGGACAAAGCCGCAGGTCAAAATGCGGCCACGCGGCTTCGAGTGGGAAATTGACCAATAGAAGCGGGGCAAAGGGAGGTGCGACCGCGGCGCAGCTCTTGTGTGAAATCGGTCTGCAATAGTATGGGTGGCTTCTCCCTCCAGGGATCACACAGCCAGAAACACAGCTGTGGAGTCTCTACCTGGTAGCTCTTAAGAAAACAGCATCCACTTTGAAAGCCGAGGTTGTATTTCTGGACTCACTCCCCCACAGACAGCTGCTTGTATAATAACCTGTTATGTACATGGACCACCACCAGGGGTCCGCGGCACATGCAGGAGCTTGGCTCTTGGAACAAAGGAAACTTTGGATCCTGGTTTCCCCCAGCCCCAACCAATAGCCACTTTGGCGGGACATTCAAAACCTCCAATGGGAATAGGGGGGTGCTGGGTGGATATGTATATAGTTGGCCCTGTCAGGCCGTTAGTTAGTCTTAGTTGGAGTGAAATACAATAAATGTGGGCAAAAGCATGTCGTCGTCCGAGTCCTCCATGCGGCGAACCCAGTACTTTACATAACCTATTTGTTTTTTCCCCTCTTCCCCGTAGGCCTGAATTATCTGAAAAATTCTAAGCAAGGTGTACGGTGAGTATCTGCAGGTCCTTCATTTGGCATCACCTGAGGCATGGCTTTGTAATTCACCTAGTAACGTCTGAATGCCCAAACGGAGTTGCAGGGAAGCTGTGCTTTTCATTTTAACTCCGGTTCATTTGTGAATCCAAGATGCAGCTTGCAGGCCGTTGCTCAAATCCTGGTTAGCCTCAGCCGCAGCTGGTTTTGCTGCTTTTGATCAGACAGCTCTGTAGGTGAATGTGTCAGCCAGGGAACAAGCCAGGATGAAGCCAGGATGTCTGCGTCGATAAGACTGAACCAACTTCAAACCATCCTAGTTTGATGGACCTTAACGAATCATAGTTTGCAGAAAAGCTTACGGTCACACCACCCTGTGGTTTCACTTGCTGTCTGAACTGGGCTGCTACCTCAGAAGCATTGTCATTTATATGAACATGTAAAAAAGCTGCCTTCAGGTCATTGGTCCATCGAGCTCAGTGCTGTCTACTCTGATTGGCAGTCCCTTCCCCTCCATGCAATTGGATAGTTAAGATTTCTGTGGTTTGTGGTAGAAACTGATCCAAATTTTGCTCATTTGGAGGAAAGAGAACAAACCATTGTTTATGGTTTGGAGATAATGTCAAACTGTTGTTTGTTGTGCAAAGGGAAGTGTGTTTAGTTGCCAAGTTGTGTATTGAGCAGGGAATATCTGAGGTTGGGGGTGCACCCCCCAATTGGTCTTGAAGTAAATGGCAGACTTTGGCTTGTTGTGTCAGAACTACACTAGACGCATTTTAAATGTATTTTTAAAATGGCATATATCTTTTTTAAAAAAACAGTTCCCTTGATAGAGTGGCAAAGGCCACCAAGAGCTTTTTGTGGGGAAAGGCAAGGTAAAAAATGGAATAGGTGTTTTGTTGTGCATCTGTGAGTTGGTACAAGGTCTGCTGTCCTATATGGTTTATGGTTTTTGAAACAGAAGATATGTCTTCTGGTTCTTAACCATTATTTTCTACACTACTCCACTGCCCTACTTTGGAAGCATCAGCTTCTTATTACTGTCTTTGTTAGCTTATTTTACACTGCTTTGGGAGGATCACCTTCTAATTTCCTTTTTTTATTATTATTATTATTATCATTATTATATAATGAAGAGGCTATTCTTTCAATAATAATAATAATAATATTTCAATTTATTGATTGCTCAAACCTTGCAGAGCTGCCGGCTCTGAGCGATTTACAGTTACTCATGAATTCACACGGGACTAACAATGATAGGGGTAAGGGAGGACAACATATATCTGTTTAATTCACACACATTTTCGCAGTGGACGGGGAGTTTGGTCAGCTGTAAGCTTCAGACATGTTCCGGCAGCATTCTCACTCGGCGTTGCTTGATGTCGTCAGCATTTTTCTCAGCCACAGTGCAGCACTGCCACCGTCTGGCCGGAATGGCCCATTACAGGCTACTTTTTTGATGCTGCGTAGATCTCTCTCGGCTTTTGATCTTACGTGCGGACCTTCCGCTCGTCGGCTAACACCACCCCCACCAGGGGTTTAGAGGTCCTATACACTGCTTTGGGAGCATCCGCTTCTTTGCTTCATGTTTTAGGGATTTCACACTGCTTCAGGAGCATCAGCTTTTTATTTCCTTTTTTAGCAATTGCACCCTGCCTTTGGTGCATCAGCTAATGGTCTTTTTTCTTGCTGCTTGCTTGCTGCTTTGGGGGCATCAGTGTCAAAGAGGTTTAAGGGTGCCCTAGATACCTAAAGGAGCTGCGGTGGCTCAAGTAGTTAAGACGCTGAACTGCAGGCTGTGTGGAAGGTCGGTAGTTCAGCAGTTCGAGACCCGGGTTGCCGCATGACGGAGTGAGCGCCCATCTCTAGTTCCAGCTCCTGCCAACCTAGCAGTTTGAAAGCAAGAAATTGCAAGTAGATAAATAGGGACCACTTCGGTGGGAAGGGAACAGCGTTCCGTGCGCCTTGGTGTTTAGTCATGCCGGCCACATGACCACGGAGACGTCTTCAGACAGCGCTGGCTCTTCGGCTTGGAAACGGAGATGAGCACCGCAACCCTAGAGTCGGATTTGACTGGCTTTCGAGCAAGGGAACCTTTAGCTTTACTAGATACCTAAAACTGTTCTTGTTTCTCATAGTTTCAGGTGCCAGTGGACATTGTGGCTGCTTCAAGCGTGTTGTACCTTTTGCTGAAGAGATGAGGTTCCCACGGAGGGGAAGACCGCATGGTGTCTCCACTGTGGCTGTGGGAGTTGGAGTGAAGGCAAACGACATCCTCTATGAAACTTGGACAGCCACGTTCATTGCTTCTTGCACCCATTTCCCCTCTGTATTTTCACAGCTGCGGTTTTAAACCCACTTCCATCTTCGTTGACATCTTTGGCTTCTCTGCGGCCTCTCTATGCTTAGAACTTTCTGCTGTGTCTGTCTGCTTGTTGCAAAATTCCTGGAGAGGGGAAAGCAGTCCTTAGAGAAGTCTCCGACTCACAAAACATCTGTCCTCCTGCCGAGTTTCCTGTTCTCTGTTCAGAGTGATAAGCCCCCCCCCCATTGTAAGGCTCTGTTTTGATCTGCGAGGTGGGGGGTGTCTCTCTTAACTGCTGTCCCCCACTCCAAGCAACTGCTTGAAATCCTATCAGTCTCGTTTCCTTCTTCCACTGTAGCAAGCAACAAACTTTGCTCTTTGTATGCATCGCGCTGGCCCCTTTTGAGCAGCAAGCGGCAAGGGAGGCCTCAGCTGCTGGGGTTCTGTTTCAGTGCCTCCCTGCTTTCATTAAACCTGGAGCAGTTCTGCGGAGCTGGCTTCTAGGAAGTTAAGTTCTATCTACTTCACCACCACCCCCTTTTTTTTCCTGGGCTCTCCCTTACTCCAAACAGGAAGGGTGGATTTCAAGGCGGGCCTGACCTATCTACTTAAAGTGAGGGCCCAGTCTTTGGAGACAGTATGTTGGGGTCTCATTTAAACTTCTGTGTGTGTTAGGTTGAGAGGATTTAATTTTTCATGTGTGTGAGGTTGACAGAAAGCAACAGAAATATTTAGAGCATTGCATTGCCAGGTTTTTTTTTTAAAGCTTTATTTTAATCCAGTGTTAATCTCCACAACACCATTCAATAGAGTTATTGCCTCTGCATGTATTCCTAGTTCCAGGGCTCTTTTTGTCGAAAAAGCCCAGCAGGAACTCATTAGCCTCATAGGCCACACCCAACAGCAGGAACTCATTAGCATATTAGGCCACACCCCTGACAGCATAGCTCATTAGCACATTAGGCTGCACCCCCATGTTACCAGAAGTGTGGTTATCCAGCCACACCCACCTTTCGCTTCTTATTCTGTTTACCTTGTCAAAACCCAGGGCCTTTTTTTGTAGCAGGAACTCCTTTGCATGTTAGGCCACACACCCCTAATGTAGCCAGTCCTAATGAGTTTCTGCTGTTGGGTGTGGCCTGTTATGCTAATGACTTCCTGCTGGGCGTGGTCAACTCGGGAGCCAGCTGGAATTCCGTTCCTGTGCGTTCCTGCCCAAAAATAGCCCTGCCTAGTTCTGTGCCTGTCGCTCATCGTCCCAGGCTGAATACTGATAGCGGTCGGTTCATGTCATCTGGTGGGGTGGCAGACCACCTCCTTCTTGGGTTAGAATTCCACTCCTACCAAGCAGTGAAGACATCCCAAAGTTTGCAACGTTTAGCTTCTCCTTTGAATGAGAGAACACTGGAGGCTGAAGCTGTCTTCCTAATGTTTGCTTTATTTACAAATGTGCCTGCACAGGAGCTTGTGAAGCTGCCTTATACTGGGTCAGACCCTTGGCCCGTCAAAAGTCTGTATTGTCTACCCAGAGTGGCAGTAGCTCTCAAAGGTCTCAGGCAGAGGTTATTTCCATCTCTCATGCCGGGGATTAAACCTGGAGCCTTCTTCATGCAAAGCAGTTGTCCTACCACTGAGCCATGGCGCTTTCCTGGAAGATAGTGGAGAGAAATGCACTCCTACATAAGTTGACAGCACAGCCTCTATTCCTGCTTCTGATTCCTAGAGAGAAATATTACAGGAGTGCATAATAGACCTAGAAGACGTAGATGGGAATTTTATGATGACTTGAGAAAGGTGAACATTGTGTCCTTTGCTGTAATGGTGTAAATAATAATAATGTACAGGAGTGACCTGTCCAGGCACAGATGCAGAGCCTGTAGCTGGTGTGATTGCTAGAGGACTCAACAGAGACCTGTTACGAGAGCCAGTTTGGTATCATGGTTAAGTGCGCGGACTCTAATATGTGAGAACCGGGTTTGATTCCCCACTCCTCCACTTGCAGCTGCTGGATGACATTGGGCAAGCCATAGTTCTGGCACAGCTGTTCTTGAAAGAGCAGTTCTTGAAAGAGCTCTCTCAGCCCCCTCTACCTCACAGGGTGTCTGTTGAGGGGAGGGGAAGGGAAAGGAGTTTGTAAGCCGCTCTGAGACTCCAATTTAAGGGCAGGGTAGAAATCCAATCTCTTCTTCTTCTTACTTGCTCCTGTACGAACCCATGCAGTGTGCTGGATTGTTACAGAAATTGGGAAGTCTACACACACCTGTGCGTAGCATGAGCTGGGAGGGAGGGCCGGGTGGGATTACATGGATGTGCATGGATTTCATAATTCCTGTGCGATTGTGTGCCTGGGTAGACAGTGGTGGAGGAGGAAGAACAGGACTCTCTTCGGTCATGCAATGATGCCTGGACACCACGGCTGCAGTAAGATAGGCGGTGTCCTGCGATTTTAAAATGCCTTGTAATTCCATAAGAAAGGATCTGTAGGATTGGAAACAGATTGTGTTTACATAATAAACATTCTTTTCCTCCTTTGGAGGGCATGGGCTTGGTGGGTCTCATTCTCCTTATTTATACGGTGCCTCCTGGCCATAGCCAACATTCTTATTTGTTTTTAAAAAATGAAGATCAGCCCATAAAGGAAAGTGTGTGGAGAGGAAAGGCATAGAGGAGGAGAGTGGGAGAGGTCCAGTTCCTGAGTATCATGGTTAACAGAGGTGCTGTAAGTCCAGGGCTATTTTTGGGCAGGAGCGCACAGGAACGGAGTTCCGGCTGGCTCCCAAGTTGGCCACGCCCAGCAGGAACTCATTAGCATAACAGGCCACACCTAACAGCAGAAACTCATTAGGATTGGCTACATTAGGGGTGTGTGGCCTAACATGCAAATGAGTTCCTGCTACAAAAAAAGGCCCTGGGTTTTGACCACAAACAAGGTAAACAAGAATAAGAAGCAAAAGGTGGGTGTGGCTGGATGACCACACTTCTGGTAACAAGGGGGTGCGGCCTAATGTGCTAATGAGCTGTGCTGTCAGGGGTGTGGTTTAATATGCTAATGGATTTCTGTTGTTGGGTGTGGCCTATTATGCTAATGAGATCCTGCTGGGCTTTTCCTACA